AACTTACTCGTACGAAGAATAGGAAGCGAGGTATAAAGAGAGAAGTGTCGTACGACAGCTTAACTCTTCTTATCTTTCTTCTTCTGTACCATAGGCTAATGCAAACTCGTTCGAAGGCCTCTTCGCCCATAACACTTAGGTAGCTAACTTGCTTATAAAACACGTTAAGCTTTTATTAATAATATTAATATTTTTATATTTTATTAGCTAAATAAATAATTTATAAAATAAATTCTTTTAATCTAGTTCTATAAAAGATAAATAGCTTTAAAATTAATCAAAAACTATATATAAAGCAATTACTACTCTATATTTAGTTAAATATTAAATAAGATCTTATATTTTATTCTATAGAAAAAAGAGTAAGAGGTAGATAAAGATTATACTTTCCTTATTTTAGAATAAATTAGCTATAGTAGTACCACTAGTATAAAGTAATTTACTAGTATAATATTACACGGGGTTAGGTGCTAATACTTGTCTAGGCTTAATCTAGGTTAGGGCGAGTGAGATAGTGTAAAGAGCGCCGTAAGGCAGTTATCTAGCGATATAGTAGAGTAGGCGTACTTATAAGATAGATAATAATAGATTAATAATTCCTAATCTATATTAAATAGACTAATAAGTATTAATCTTATAAATTTAAGTAACTAATAAGAAAGTATAATATAAGTTAACTATAATAAGAGTAATAATAAAATCTCTCTATCTGTATATTCTTATTACCTCTAGTCTTACTATTATAACTTTAACCTACTATTACTAATAGTTATCTTTACTTCTAATAGCTACTATTATATATAGGTCCTACTATTACTAATAGTACTATCTTAGCGTGATAGTATATTATATAACTTAGCCCCGCTATGTCCGTTCTTTTCTGTTAGTATCCTAAGTGGCTTTCTAGCCATTATACTATCTGCGCAAGGAAGAAGATTCTTTCCTTTGTTACTTGTAATATATAGTTATTACTAACATAAGCTTATTTTACTTAAATAAGTATATTAAACTATTAATATTTAGATTTAGATATAAATTAATTTACTATAATAAAGAATAGTTTAATAAAGTCTTTTACGTATATATGCCTCTAACGAGTAATACTTAGTCTCTTTATCTCTAATAGCCTTCTAAAAACTATACAGTAGAGTACTTAGTTACGAAATCTTACTCTATTATAATTATTCTTTCTATTAGAACTTAAAATAGTTTTCTAACTATCTCTCGATATATCTTAGAAGAGGATTCTTTATACTATTACTTATAACACTTAACTACTATCTTTATCTAAGTCCTAATATTACGTCTAAGTATAGATAGTAGTTAGGTGACTAAGAGTTAGATATAGGTTAGGTTAGGTAGTGCTTATTTAAGATCTAATCTCTACCTCTATATAACTCTTTGCAACCTAACTATACACCTACCTCTCCCTATTTACTACCGTACGCTAGTATATTTAACTTGTAAGATAAAATTTAGGAGCTTATACTGTAATGCTTACTTAAAGGCATAAGTAACCCTATCTCGTTATGGAGCTGAGGATAAACGGAACGCCACACTTATGTCCTAATTAGGCGTCCAGCACAGCCACTGCCACCCTGTATCTCAACATAAGTTGACCTAGCCTCGTCACCAGCCGTCACATCAACCCAACTACCTATATTCACCCGCTCGCTGATTGTATCTTGGTCATAGCAACGCAAAGAACGTGACAACAGATAGATTACAATTTCACTACATTGGAGCGTCATCTCAAGATGCTGGCACCAAGGGGGAAGAACAAAGCAGCTAGCATATGGTCCGTTGACTCGGGCTATGCATCAAATACTGTGGACGAAGAAGATGGTAGCTATGTACTGACTCAGAGTCGACATTTCCCCACCAAGCTGTTGCTGACACTACTAGATGGACTTTTTTGCCAGTCCCACAATCAGCAACCTACCACCATCATTGTCTCAGAAGAGATTTAGCTTAGAGTTCGGCGACTTCTTCAAGATCCATGTTGAAGATCAGCTGCGCCTGCAAAAACCAGATTCTCCATCTGCACCAGTGACCACCAAGGTCAATGTGTTTACGACAAATTTGAGAGTAGGCCACGACCTCCAATCTCGGGTGGCTCGTGTCAATGAAGAGTGTGTTTTATGCGCACTCTGGGACATTGCCAGTCCTGGAGAAAACCTGAAATGCGATAAATGCAGCCGAGAGCTGACAGCCGAGTTCGGTGCTACAGGAAGCTCAGGAATTCTGCAAAATCACGAGACTGAACAAGAATCGATGCATATTGCACCCCACGTGAAAGAACTCAACGCATTACAGCTACATCAACTACCTGATAAAGTCGAGGAAAGTCGACGTTTAACATGTACTATGTTGAACCCTATTGGAAATGACCGGACTACTACTACTTCTTCCCGCAGTCCGGGTTTGGGCACTTCTTATACTGGATCTCCAAATATCATTTGCGAGGCTAAACGCTCTTCCACTCGACGGCCTCCTACAAAGCTTGAGTCACACGCTCTGCGACGCCTGAAATCATGGATAAGAGACAACAGCAGCAATCCGTATCCTGATGCTGATACCAAACGTGTATTGGCTCAAGAATGTGGAATCACAGAGAAGCAGTTGAATACATGGTTCACGAACGCTAGAGCACGACAAAGATTCCCACGTCATGGGGAGAGTTCACTCTCAGACCCAAAAGGAGAAACAGATCCAGCAAACCACTTCTCAAAGGCCAAAGTGTCACTAATACCTAAAGGCTACCGAAGTCTGGAGGAAATTAATTATTCTAATCACGACTACGAACCAAAAACGCCAAAAGTGTCAAGGCGAGGCAAAAAGAAAGACTACAGTCATTTAAGTGTGATTTCTCCGGTTGCCAAGGTGTTCCCATCCATGTCCTGTACCCAGGCACAAGCAACGATCACAACCAAAGACAATACACCAAACATGTGGCAGTGCACATTTTGTTATCAAATTGTAACGCCAAAATCCTGGCGTCGTCATGAGGAAACTCAGCACCGACCGAAACGGAAGTGGACTTGTTTACACACTGGTCCGAGCTTGACCACTTCTTCTTATCCCACTTCGTCAACATTGTGTGTTTTCTGCATGCTACAAAATCCTAGCAAAGAACATCTTCTTCACTCTCACCGTATTGGTGAATGTTTTGCCAAGGCCGAAGAAGACAGAACATTCTTGCGACCAGATCACCTCCGGCAGCATGTGAAGAATTTTCACCAGGCGTCTCTGACTGATGCTGTAAGAGACTTATGGAAAATAGATGGAGTGCCCAAAGATGGCCCCGAAAGTTGGACCTGCGGTTTTTGCGCTCTTGAAATGACAGCATGGGATGCGAGACAAACTCACATCGCGGCACATTTCAAAGACGGATTGACAATGGCAAACTGGAAAACACATCCTCGGCCTGAACAGACTACTAACACTAGCAAGAAGCGGCCAATATCTAGTGAAGGACGGCCAAATATGTTTTCCAAATTCGCCAGGAACTTTACATGTCTGAACGCACGACAAGAAGAGGAAGATATGTCGCAGAGCGGACTCGTGCCACGTTTCGAGTACACCACTGAGTACGTACAGTCAAAGGTACCAGTGGAACCTTTGTTGCCGGAGTTAACCCTGGACAACTTTACAACAGGTGTGTACAGCAGTGAGTTCAATTTTGGCAGTGCGAGTATAACGGATTCATCGGAAGAAGTGACCGCATCAAAGGACTCAGACATATCTTATCCTGTTGGTGACAAAGATTCGTGGCTAAATTATTATGACCTGGGCAGCCTTTTCTGCGAAGACGAGTATGAAAGTTTTCTCGATTGTTGGTAGCGATGTACTATCTGAAGCCTGGCAACGTATACGACCTCATTGATTATGCATCTATACATGTCCGGTCTTTTGAACGCCTAGTCATGAAGTATTTGCAGTGAGATGAAGCATTGTATTTCTGTGAGAAGGTGTGATAGCACGCAGGTGGTTGATTGACAGGGCGAAGTTGCAAAGTGTCGAGACTGCAGCTACGTCTTGGCTGCCAGCTTTACAGACAATGGCGCAGGGAACGCGTTGTCGCTTACTATTTCGTCCTCTCCTACTAATACTATATAGCCAATCCCATTGGCCTCGCTCAGCCGCCTCTCATACTCATCGTCTGCTCAATCTGCCAAATCAACCACGCTACCCAACAGGAAAAGACACACTACAACCATGATCAATACAGACGTAGACCATACGGATGATTTATGTCCGATATGCAAAGAGCTTGATGAGAAACTCAGTACGTCCCAATTTGGAGATGCGCGGGTCCTGTCCGTTCCCAAGGACTCCTTCCACCAAGACTTTGTGTCCGGCAAGACACTGTCTAATCACTTCCACGCCGATAAGCTTGTCGTGGCTTTTTTTCCACGATGAGATAGAGAATGAAGAAATGCGTCTAGAGTCTTCAGAAGGGTTGGTTGAGCCACGCGCTGAGCCCACAAACGCGAAACCTTTGAAACGGATCTTTGTGTGGGACTCGGTTGATCCAAGGCATGAACATATATCCCTCCTAGCGGAAAACTATATATCAAGGCCTGGAAAATATGCGTCGGCGGACCTGATCCGAGCGAAGCAATAGCTCGAGAGTTATAGGTCAAACCATGTTTTTGCTGAAGCAGGTGGAAGGACATGCACAGTTCAGCCGGTGAAGATGAAAACACCGCTGAGAATCATCGACTGCAGTGCATTACAGGTAAGGGAACTGATGCCTGGCGAGTCTTATGTGCGCCTGAGCTATTTCTGGGGTAATGTAGCTCCTGCAAAAGTTTCACTAGGCTCGCAAATAGACCCTGGAAGTATTTCAGACTATTTCAGACGCCATATATGTGGCTAAGCAGCTTGCAATACCTAGATTGTGGGCCGATCAGTCAGTAGCTCCCTGTATATCCTATTGGCGTTGAACATTCACTGATGAGTTTGTGTCCTTGAACATACTGCATCGTCCAAAATGACTCTGTTGCGAAGAATGAAGCAATTGCATCGATGCATCTCATCTATGGAGGGGCAGAAGTCACTATTGCAGCAGCATCTGGCATAGATGCATTGCATGGTCTTCCTGGTGTTCTGTGAACAGATCGATCAGAGCTGATACATACATCTGTCACCTTAGGGAGCCGACAATTTCTTGAAGAGCCCGTCCAGAAACAGCTGAGCCAGTCGCGTTGGAATAGCCGAAGCCGGTAACTGGCTGTCATTCATTCGATTCTCCATCAAACACTGATGTTGAAACAGGACCTTCCAAGAAGCTGTGTTGCCTGTGCATCTTCTCGTGTTCACTGATAGACAAATATATTTCCAGTGCTACAAAGCTCATCATCTCGAGCACTACAAATCCGAAGACCCACTAAGCAGGCAACGCATATTTCTCTTTACAAGAACCGATCTTGAGCCTCTAGCAACCTTCACACTCTTAACAGAGTACTTTCCTAAGGAACTTCCTTTCGCCAAAGACAGTCTCAAGGCTGCAGAAGGAATCTTGGAAGCCTGAGGTAAATGTCGGCCTTGTTCATATCAATGTAGGTGCTTTCACGGCATTCCTTTGATCTATTTTACGGACGGCATCACGCACGAGATATCCTTCTCCGCACAGGGTCTGGTTTGGTGGACTTCGCATCGGAACGTGGATACTGGAGTGGAAGAACCCTCGCTCCTGATGTGTCTGGACTACCTTCGTGGACTTGGGCATCTCAAAAGTCAACATATAGATCTTTCATCACGGCACGAGATTTCTTCGACCTTGACGCATCATGGTCGAATTTTCGAGAGCTGAGGTACCATATCACGCATCGGGATGGGAAAACCATTGATGTTTTCGAATTTGTCACATCATCTCTTCCAGAACATTATTCAAACTTCTTCCCTTGGATTGATATTACTTCATGGACCGTTCGGAGCCAGATCACAACGCCGGATCTAAAATATTCCAACAAGACTCTCTTTGGTGGCATGAGAAATTCAGGCTTTAAATTTGACGAAGGTGTTCCACAGAATGACGAGGCAATCACGGCAGTATTCATAGGTACTGGTGAAGCCTGGTCCCATAGCGTAGACTCAGAGGGTGGTCTTGTATTTTTTCTTGTACGTCCAACTACGCAGAATACATTTTCACGCGTCGGAATATGGTATCTGTATGAGGAATCCAAGCTCCTCTCTCTCGAACAGGTAATGGCAGATCCAGAGCCTACGCTTCTTGAAAGATTTACGGAAGATCCCCAGAAATACTTGGAATTCTGTGGGCTAAGGTATGGCGCTGTCGTAGAGAAAAAGACTCTAAGATTAGTTTGATTGAACATCGAAATATCCATGGACGTCCGCAACTAAGAAGGCCGTGATCTATTACAATATCCCTTCAAAGTCCACGATATGCAGGACCAGTCCTCCACAAAGACACTTCTCAAGCATACAAACATAGGTATTTAACGAATTCATGTTGCAACTCGACTATAAACCGTCTTCGTTCTTCTTCAATAGCGTTGTTGTAGCTTCATAATCTACCATATATTTCTGCTACCGTATCAAAGATATCATACAATGCACAAAACCGGCACAATATCTTGATTATGATCTTCCAGATATACATCTCTATGATGTAGCCAACACGATTTAGTAAATATACGAATGTGCCCAACACAGTATTTGTTGGACTCGAGCTATCCTCGCAAAAGCGAGTGCCTCACCAAAGAGTGGGCTGGCTGCTCAAGATGTTCCGTACTTGCATGCAAGAATGTTATCGTCACCGGGTGAGGCCAACCATTTCATGGCCCGCTAAACGAATCAGAAGCACGAGGTGACCTCCCGTACCGCATTGACGGGACCGGTATCGTGGGTCAGTAATGCAGACTCACAAGTCGGGCACAATACTGTCCGTGCTCACCCAATGCAACAATCAGCCAATGCAACACTATCTGCCCCACCCAAAATATCAACCCACCATTTTCAATACGTGATATCTCTACCACTATAACAGCTCTTATAAAAGCGATTGCGGTAATTAATTCGTAAGGTCTAGAAGGTTAACTTTTATACCACGTAGCTATAAAAAAGTTTAGTATTAAGATTTTAATATTAACGCGCTAGTACTAAAATAAAATAACATCGCGTGTGGTAGCTACTAAAAAACGCTAACTACTTACTCTATTATAAGAATCTAAGCTAGTAAAATATATAGAAAAACTTACTAAGCGTGGCCTAC